CTATTGTACATCGCCGGCCTCTTTTCTTGGACTGCTGTATTTAAATTATCCAGTTGCTGACAATACTTCTCCGAATAATGGCAATTACATTATTTAATAAAGTTTATTGACGGTAATAAAAATTTGTATTTTGTTTTATTCCAAAAACGGACAGAACTTTCCGGTAGACCTAATATAATATCGGTAAATATATTGTTGGGAACAGAAAAGGTCGCGGGAAAATCAATACGAATTTTACCACATTGTCAATTCGTTATGCTTTAATTATTCCGCGACGCGCAATCGCTATCGGACAAAAAAAAACATTCGGACGGGAAACGTGATAATTTATAGCGAGCGTAAACGCAAAACGTAACGAGACTTTTATTATTGAAACCTAGGGTTACACAATTCTCCATCCCACTCGTTGCCGGTGAAAAAACTCCACCGCGTCTCTGACTTTAAGCCGACGGAAGGACGCGCTTTAATTGGACTCGTTGAAAGCGACACGGGACAATACCTCATTGCTATCCATTATTCTTTGTCGGATTATTGTTCGTTGCCTATCTTCAAGCTCGCGGCTCGAAACATGCGCGTCAATAGCATTGCTCTGCAATTGGCGGAAACGCATAATCACGTTTCGCCTCGAGAGAAAGGAAAAAGAAGTATTACGTAATTAATTAATCATTATACAATCTTGGTTGCTGTTACCAACAAGTACTATTTCAATATAGATTTAATGTAATAATAGATTCCATAGAGTTGGTACATAAATTATTTGATTTATTAAATATTTTATGTGTTCTATTTTCAATTATTCCGGATTGTTCCCCTTCGAGATGAATCAGCTTTCATGATGCAGAGTCACGAAGAGGTCGCGATCGTAATTTCGGTCGAGACAAGATCGTGAGAATCCCTTAGGTTAAATCTAATCCGAGCAGGAGGAAGATTAATGGAGGTGACGTTACTTGTAGTTCGCGTTTGCCCGTTTGTTCCTTCGAAAACTAAATGTCGACCTCAAGATTGAAACAAGAATAAGGCGGAAGAGAATCTTGGAAACATTGATGATGACTCATCTTTATTGCTCATATTAATACCGAGATCCTTAACTATACGATGATTAATCTCGCGATTAATCGTATCACTTTTTTACGAGCAAATGTCAAACAAGACGAATGTATATTTCGAAAAATATTAATGACTAATTTTATCAAAAAAATAGAAATAAAAAATTAAAATAAAATTGGACAAAATAATTTGATTGTGTCATAAATTATAAAAATTATATCGATTGTTAATAAAATTTATTCTATCGTAATAAACACGGTCGATGAAAAACATTTTGTAGAGTGTCAAACGCATAATGAAGTATCTTCGATGATAAGAAATATAACGACGTGAAATCTTACAAAGGTACGAGACCGAATTTATCAGGCGTCGCTTCGCGAAACTTCGTTTTTCGTGTCGAAAAATGTTCTTCGCGAGCAGGTAAAGCCGTCCTTTTTGATTACGCGGTTTACGTTCCGAATGTAATTAAGGTAACGAATATCGCGCGCAGGAAAGATGGGAGCGTGTTTCGTTGTCTCGACCAGTTTTTGCTCGCACTCGAATGTCGCCTCTTTAACACAGTAAAGGTCTCCAGGAAGACAGGAGTGACTGAAGAAGGAAAGAAAGAGGAGGGAAGAGAGTAGGGCGAAAAGAGAATCGAAGTTCCCGACAGCACTCCGTGGGACCCTCGGGGCCGCGCTTAATTGGATCGAATCGAGTCGAGGCAACGACGAGGAAGAGTCACCGCTCGTACGCTCGTTTCGCGTCTTAAATTTCAATTATTTCAAACTGCGATCAGAGACCCTTGGATCAAAACGTCGGTTTATTTGTCGTTAATAAAACACAAACGCTTTCCTTCTGACTGGACTGAGATTAATTGGAAAAACTTGGAGCGTTTGAACTCGCTAAAATAACTAACGTTCGATTCCAGATTATACCTCTGTTGTGAGCGATATCTTTAATGTAAGTTCTATCTCTTTTTTTTTTGTGATGCGAGCAAGAGAATTTAACAATAAATAAAGTTAATTGGAAAGATACTTTTAAAGAAGACAGATTTTTTTTTTATATAAATTAGAAAATATGTAAGAGATACACGGAGAATATTTTATATTTATATATATACACACACACTATATTTATGCATTAATATAAAATTGATTACTTACTGTGGAAAGAGACGTTTAATTTAAAAAATAACAAATAAAATAAATTAAATAAATTGGAAATTACTCATCTCACAGTTACTCCTCGCTGTCGCCCAATGCCTCTCTTTCCCCTCTTGCTTCTCCTTTGCTGCCCTTTTATGACACTTTTGCATGACACTCACGAAAACACGGTTAATTACGATCACGGGCGCACTAATTGGTGGAATACGACGATCGCGTGACACTTTACAGGGCGCTTCCAATGTATAATCATCGTGCGCGACACGCACTTTATTTCATTGATGAGAGAACAACGTGAAAATTATGGCGCTCGAAAATTTTGCTATTCAAATTCACGCGTCACTTGCTGCGGTGACATTTAACAGATAATATACACTTTCGTTTTACAATTACTCACCTGGTATTATAAAGTTTGGAATACGAATTAAACATAAATATTCAAGGATTGTGCAATATTCAAAGATATAGTTAAGTTTGTCGACTGTTTGCACGACTAATTTTGAATAAATTTTGCGGGATATGCGTTTTGACAAATTGCAACGATGGATTATAGAAACGCCAAATTTATTATGCGCGATTGATAAATATTAAAATGTAGGATTAATAACGCAGGAAAAAAAATATTAAAATGCAGGATTAATGTACTTATTATAATTGAACATATCGCGACGCTGTTCGATCAGCCTCGTAAACGCAAACGTTTTGTTAATGACCGTAAATGGCATTGGCGACTTCACTTTGATATCGCGCGATATTACGCGAGTCGAGTTAATGGCTAGTTGAGAGGCAATGTACCGTCCCGAAATATATATAATCGAAATTCACGATATTGCATGCGAGATACATAATAAATCCCGCGAAATAAATTATTAATTAACGGTCGATATATCATCGGTTTTCCTTTACTTGTATTATTCGATCCGGTAATCGTATATTACTCCCGATAATTATAGGCAAATAATGCTTAAATCGGTGAAAAATTTTAAACGCGGTATATATTCATATCTAAATAAATTAAAGAAATAATTATCGTTTTAAATATTGAGAAATAAAATAATAATTACCCTTCCCTAATGCTTCATTTTCTTCTCGTCCATATTTTAGAAAAATAAATTGGTAGCGACATATTATCGTAGTATTTTTCGAGACACGATCGTGAGAAGTACTGGAAGACGTCAAATGCGTAATAATTACAATTATTGGTTATTAGTTAGCGTGATTCGTATGAACATTGCGACGACAGCTATTTATCGAAGCAATATTTCGCGTAATATATTTGGAAGAAGAATCTCGGAACGACATGAGATGGAAATTATAAATTGTTTTGTTATGATAAAACAAATAAGTTAATTTGTTAGTAATTGTAAAATGTTTACGGGCATATAATGACTTCTTTAAATATACCTCGAATATATTTTGCCTCGCGCTGTAATTTGAATTTTTCGCTTGTTTTCAAATGTAATTAACCCATCATTTTCATATCAAAAATTTTGAGTAATATACAAACCAGGGTAAAATAATTCACATAATGAAAAGCCCCGTGATATATCGATCGTTTATTAATATAATGCATTTATATATTCCGCGGTATTTATATATCGCGTGTGCAATATTGAATTTTGAATGACGTATTTTTGGACGGCACAACGGATCTTTTGACTAATCATTTACTTGAATGGTATCGCACGATATCAAAGTGAGATTGTTTGTGAATGATATTTTCAAGTTTTTTGATGATTAATGATACATGTCGTGAATGGATCGACTCTGAATCGTATGGCGTTACGAAACGCGTTCATTTAAATAAATATAGTCGTATTTTAATATGTCGGTCGATAATTTATTAATTACGTAACCAAATTTTAATATTGATTAAAACGGTATATTTTATATTATTTATTCGATAAAAAATCTATCGCACGAGTAATTATGGCAAAACGACGACATATTTTTGAATATTATATTTCTCGGATATTTATCTTAAAATTTAAATTATACATTTAGTCATTTACGTGTGCATTCTAACGTGACATAATAAAATTATCTAAAATACACGTGTATATCATTTGTTAACAATAAAAGTCGCATTGCCGTAGTGAGTGGCACGTGAATTTCACTGCGTGATTTTCGAGGGAATCGTGACTTTACGCGACCGTAATTTCCGCATTGTTCTCCCATCGCGATATAATGAAGCGCGTGCCCCGTATGATTATATTATACATCGACAGTGCTGCGTGCGTGCGAAGTGTATTCGCTCGATTGTCGTACTCTACCGATTAATGCACGTGCGATCGTAATTAATCGTGTTCTCGCGAGTGAGTGTCGTGTGAAGTACCGAATGAAGAGCAACGAGGATGAAGAAAAGAGGAGAAGGCCCGGGGGGTCATCGGTCGACAGCGAAGCAACCGTGAGTGATTTATAACTTATTTAAGTTACTATTTGTTGCCGATGTGAAATTAATTGCTCGTTTATGCCCGTGATAAAATAATCGACTTTACTTATTTTACATCACATAATATGACACGCGTATAAAATATTTTAGATGTTTAAAATTTATAGTTGAACTTTTTATATAACAGAATTAGATTTTTAATTATATCATAAATTTTATAAAAGCTTTCGCTTTAAAAAAATTTTGGTTCGAAGAATTTAGGTAATTTTTTTAAAATTAAATATCTGTTTTGATTAATTATGTTTAAAATTATAAAAATTCTCGACCGCAATTATTGTTTTTAAAAATATTAATTATTTTGTACATTATTTTATACGTATGTAAAACTTGAATATATTTTTTTGTATGTTTTATAGATTAACGTTGTGTGTGCTACAATTCCGCCGTTGTGCGTCGTACCGGTGAGTGTTAAATTATTTTTTATTACGTTTCTCTCTCTTTTACAAGTTTACAGGACTTGTAATAAAATAAGATACGAATAAATAAAACAAAATATAAAGTGACTAATATATTACCTAGGCATCGTCTATGATGCAGTCTTGATGATTTATCCCGGCCATCATTGTTATATACTTTGTAGGTTTATGAAATCGTGGGATTGCGGGATTATTTGTAATTTCACAAATATTTTGCATTATCTTCACAGAGACATGAACTGGCATACATTTGAGCATAATCATCTCATAAAATACTTTATAACCGGACGTGCAACCTCGGTGATTTGTCGTAGAGCGAATCTCTTCGTAAAAACGGTAATAATTAATAATTCATCTATATGAATCTCGCGAATGTTGTCGTAAGAATTTTATAAATCCCGCGATAAAAAAGGGAGGGTGGGAACGAAGAGGGGAAGAAGTTCACGAGCACGTTCGCTTCGAGGTAATTTCGATCTTACAACCATAGGAGCGTTATTATTTTTTGATTGTCCGCGCGGTTAATCGGGAACAACCATCTTAGAGACGACTGGATCATCGTCTTATCGTTTCTTATCACGAAAAGGAGGGTTTACGAGCGCTTTACGATGGGTTTTAAGCCGCGCGCATAAAACACCTCTAAATGGAGAGTAACAAAGCTCTCGGCAAAATGAACGCTCGCGGTAAAATGAAATTGATACAGTGTTCTCCCGTGCATCCTTCTTCTGGCTAAAATTGCGTAAGATATCGTTATTTATTGCGGACGCGTAATATGAACAATGAAAAGGGACAATGAAAAAGTGGTCACGCTCGATCAAGATTCTCTGTCATCTTCAAAACAAATGATATATTTTTTAAATATGCTGTTCATTTTTTATTCACTTTATTTATATAAGTTATGTATCTAAATCTTTATCTTGAATTATATATAATAATGTTCACAAATTTTTAATTATTAAATCGCAATATAAAATATAATTATTTTCTACGTTATATGTATAAACAGAAGGCACATTTTAATATTTAAATTGATTAGTATCATCAGAAATTGCTTACGATTTGCGATTTTTCACGATCTCGATTTTTTAATCCGTATCGGTTTTTTTTTATCCATAAAGCAAAGATAATAAACTTAAATGGCGATTTGATGCTGCTTCGATCGATCGATAGATCTCGCGGATAAGTCTAACCGGTCGTTACTTTTTGGCCTCTTTGCATACGTAATTGCCTCCGCTGAGAGAGGTACGATGTGGTAAGGGGTGAGACGAAAGAAATGGCGCCTCGTATTACGAAGGTCGTAGCGCGAAACAGGGGAAAGCAAAAAAATTGGATTGCAGCCCGCCCTCGCGTTTACGGGCCGCTGCGATATAAACGAGGGTCGTTAAATCCTCTCGCCTAGTCACGCAGGATTTTCCCCAATGGCCTTCACGGCGTCCGATATATCGATAGCTCGATGCAAGTAGGGTTGCGACTCGAAAAAAATGGCTTTTCAAAAATTACCTCCTTCGAAATATATTGTGTTCTTAGAATTTCGATCAATGTACGACATAAAATCGGGGTACAGCTTTACGAAAACATTATAATTCAATAATCATATAATGTTCATGGATTTTAAGAATGAGATATTAAAATTAGCAAATCCAAAATTCAACGAATTTTTAAATTATACAAGTCAAAGTCTTAAGATTTGTGAAATCAGAGACACGAGATTTGCGTATATGTATATCAAACCGAATGACATATGGACGCGCGTCCTGGTTAGGAATGTGTATTGACACGATTGCAATATGTTACGTGTGTGTGCATCTGGACAAATGTAAACTTACATTGCCGTTCGAGTGTGAGATAAAATGGCAGGAAGGACGTAAATACGGGTTGCCTTACGGCCACGTTTTCGTACAGTGGAGTGGAGTTATACAGTCGAAAATCCGAAGAATTGAAGTCGACTTCGAAGGATATATATATAGAGAGACTCGATAACTTGATGGAAATCGATTTGAGATACTTACACACGTACACACGTACACGTACGATACACATTTACGAGGGCTGAGTTATAGGTCGCTTTTAATGAAACTTTGTTGATTCGGGGGGGAGTTCGAGATACTTGATTATCGTGCTCGTCCGGCAAGCTTCACGAGATGTAATACTTGATTTTAAGCTTTTGAATAATAGCCTGATATCGCGATCAGCGGGGAATTTGAAAATCATTAGCTCAAAGAACAATACAAAATTATTAATAATTGCTTTATTCACTTTCTTTTTCTCTTTTTTTCTCTCTCTCTCTCTCTCTCTTTCTCTTTTTGTTCCATAATATACGCATTATACAGATAGATGTAGAAATATGTAATTTCTTTCGCAGTATTGCTCAACATTAATTATCGATTTCTTTGGTCTCAATTTTTCTTTTTAACAAAATAAATCTAAGAAATTAACATTTAAGAAAAGATCGAGTTCAAAATTTGCCAAAGATTATATCATTAAAATTATTTATTTTATAAATTAATACACATACACACACATACACACATATATATATACAGAATGTTAAAAAACACCATTCAATATTTATGTGGTAGATAGGACGCACCATACTAACAATAAATAAAACAACCTTAGTAAACATAAGAAAGCTCAATCGTTTCTGAGATATAAACATTTTTATATGTTAGCATCATGATTGATTTATTGGCTTTTATGTGTCGCATGCGATGTTTACCTCAGTGTTTATAAACGGCGATCCTCATTCAATTTCCATACATACTTCATAACAGAAGATTTCACGGCAATCAGTCAGTTGTCATCAACCGGCGATTGCGGATCTTTGCGATTTGGTGGTTACACAGTTACAATGGAAATGGAAGGAGGACATGTGGCACACTTCCTGTAAATATCGAGATAAATATTTAAATAAATTATCTTCTTCTTTGCATGCGACGTCTGGCAGACATTTCAGTGCTATACCTTGCGAAACGACGATCCTATTTACGCGTTAATTGCTCAAGCAAAAATAAAAAAATTAATGTCGTGAGTAATTAAGGATCATAGAATGACGCGCGAAACTCTCCACAATCATCGCGCGAAATTGTTTAACTACGCGTAATCCGCGTGGCGATAGTAATACCTCACTTATTTCCTTGCATTACTCGTTTAACCAGGTTTAACAAGCGTAAAGGTATGAGCAAAGGAAGTCGAGGAAAGTACGGGCTCATCGACGTTCGCGATTGCCGTGTTCGGGTACCACGACGATAATTGCGATCGCGCAGCTTAAAGGAAAATCCGGAAAGCCGACGAGGAAGAACGACGGCTTTCTTTTTCCTCATTACGCGAAACTATCTCTGCGCACTAATTGAAGCACCTTAAATGCAAATGTAATCGCGATACTTGAAAAATGTGAAAATCCGCCACGATGCCAACAATCCGTAGCCTCTCTCTCTCGCGAACGCTCATTAGGCGTGAAACACAGCAAATTGCTTATAGATATTTATTATAGCGGAGATAAAGAGAGGATTAAAGTTAACGATCGCTTTTTGTAAACCGTGAGTCATTACGTTTGCAAAGAAATTTGTTTTCTTCTAAGCGATTATTTATGATATAGTGGATTTCAGTTTCTGATTGATTAGCACTATTAATTCTTATATCTGGACAATCTTTTTTTATCCAGCATACATGCATGCATTTTTTTTTCAATCCTTTTTATTCGATATCTCCTCTCATGTTTTTCAAATTTAATAATTCAGATAAAAGACATGCGTTTTAACTCGTTAAATTTTTGATATAAAAATAATTATATAAGATAAAATTTTCTCGTGCGTTTTAACTTGTTAAATTTTTGATATAAGAACGATGGTCATGTAAAAAATTGGACGTGTATTTTTTATATGCAAACTCGTTTCTCGACATCGCAAGAAATAACTGCGAACTGTCTAAGCTTCAGCGCAATTATATTCATCGCAGGGATCCTACCGCTGCAAGGCATTATAAAGTTATTGAAAAATGCCGGTATAAGAGAATCGCGGTCTCCTGGCAATGGATGAAACTTTTAAAAGGCGACCGAACTCTTTCTCTCTCTCCCTCTCCCGACAATTCGCGAGTGCTTGAAACTGTACGGATGGTTTGCCCGAGTCTGGCGTTTCTATGACTAACGGAAATCGCTTTAACCCCTTGCGGTCTAGTATAAGCGCATATCCGTCCGCAAACTTGTTTTGGTCCAACCTCGGGAAGTAGCTTGGCCGCTATTATGTGCCGCTGCGATATGGATTTCGTCGAGGCGAGCAATGTCGTTTTATGGAGTAATTAAATCGATAAAGAGTTCTTTACTCGTAATCTCGTAATCTCGCTTATAGAGCGAATATATAGATAGCTTATAGATGCGCGTTTGAGAAATTTTGCGATAACGCGTTATTAGAAATCTAATATAAAGTGATAATTAAAATAAAATAATAATTAATCTGTGAACGGTTCAGAAAATAATGCGTGGAAAAAATTTTTATTTTTAATTTTATAATTTTCATTTTTCCCTTAGGTATTATCTGATTAATAAAAAATGTGATATTTCTTTTAATCGTACTATATATATATAAAATAATGTACGCTCTCTCTCTCTCTCTCTCTCTCTCTCTCTCTCTTAGATGTCTTTTATCGAGAAAGATACGAATAAAAAGCGAAACGCGCTACTGTGTGTGTACCTGTCTACGATGAAAGGAAACTTTTATCCTCGTATACGATGACGGAAACATTTCGGTCATTGGAATAAAAAATTTGCTTCCACATACGATGCGCCGCATTGTACCTGCGTTATTGATTCGTTCTACTTGCCGATAAATACAGTGCGTCCTCCGGGAGTAATTTTTTTTTTTTTTTTTTTCATAGAATTGATCCCGCGAGCGCCGCCGTGTCTCCGAAAAATATTCATTCCGGGCGTTGCGAGCCATCGGACGTTATTATCATGGTCGTACTCGATTCGAAACATTTGAACTGTTCACTAG